TAATATTTTAAAAGTTTTAAAATACTAAGCTATATACTAAACCCTCTAAGTATAAGTTTTATATATAAAAAGTAGACTTTTTTAAATATATTATTATATTAAAATAAATCTATATATAAGTATTAAAAATAGAAGTAATTAGGGACTAGCCTATATTATAAAACGTTAAAAATATATAAAGATTTTTAAAATTTATTAACTTTTATTAACGATTCTTTAAAAACTATATTAATATAGTTAAACTCTTTAATAACCTAATATAAAAAGATACCTTATTTATTTAGGACCTTAAATATAAAAAAGTATTTATTAAAATTAAAAATATAATCGTTTTTAAACTAGTTATTATAATCCCGGACCTCTAAAAACTTTTTAAAATTAAAACTAATACTTTAAACTTTATTATAAGAGCGGTTTTAAAATAACGAAATAAGTAAAAAAAGCTTTATTTATATTACTTCTATTTTAAAGTATTTTATAAAATAAAATTAAATTAGTAAATTTATAATAAAGAACTAATAATAATTATTAAAATATTTTAAAAATAGAGATTATAATTATTTAGAACTAAATAAAAAATTATAGTTTATATAAACTATAAGAACTTTATAAACTTTATAATAAATAAGAATTTAAATAAATAATAAATTAAATAGAGCGAATTCTTATTTAAGTATAATTTTTAAATTATTTATTAAAAAGGTTTAGAAAATAATAAAGCGGACGCTCTTAGTAAAAGACCTAATTACGAAGTTATAGTCCCTAAAGAAATATAAGTTATTTTTAAATAGGAGAAGGACGGTAGTTTTATACTAATTATAAAGCTTTTTATAATAGTTAAGAAGATTAATACTAGCCTAATTAAAAAGATAATCCCTAAGCTTATTATAGAAATTTATAATATATTAATATATAATTACTAAGGAGTTATTAAAACGTAAAAACGGATTTATTAATATTATAATAAATCCGTTATATATATTAAAATTATAAAAATAATTAAGGATTACGTAATTTATAAAAAAAATAAGAATAGCTTATATAAGTCTTATAGCGAACTATAACTATTATAATTACTAATAAAAATATAATATTTAATTATATAGGATTTTATTATTAAATTACTAAAGTTTAGAGAACTATTTATTAAAGTATAGTATAATAGTATCTTAATTATAGTTAACTAACTTATTAAGTTTACGTACTTTATTTTTTATAAAAAATTAAGTACTATAAAAAACCTAATATATATATTTACTAAGGTTATATTTTTAAACTACGGTTTACTAAAAGAAATTATTTTTAATAAAGATAAGTTATTTATTTTAAAGTTTTAGAAATTTCTAATTTTATAACTTAGTATAGATTATAAACTATTAACGTTATTTTACTTATAAACCGATAGATAAATAAAAAGGATTAACTAAATCCTTAAAATATACTTCCGTTATTATATAAACTATAACTAAAATAATTAAGTAATATTTTTATTAATAGCCTAGTTCGTATATAATAATATAGTTAATAAAAATACGAAAGAATCCCCATTCTATTTTAACTACGGATTCTAATTAATAATATATAAAAAAGTATAATAAGGACTATAAGCTATATAAGTTATAATAAATATAAATAAACTTAAAAAAATTTATAAATAAGTATTAATAAACCTCGAATTTATATAATAGTATATAAAAAGAAATATAGATAGATTAAAGATTAGAGGATTATTTTTAAAAGAGGGGGATAGTACCTATCTCTTTTATTATAATATTAAAACAAAACGACTAAGTAATAAATTAAATTATAAAAAACTTAGACTTTTTAAAATTATTAAAAAAGTCTTATTAATTAATTACGAATTAAGATTATTAAATATAATATAATATTATCCCGTTTTTTATATCTTATTACTCGAGCTTATATTAAGAGGTTTATATATAAAAAATTATATTATCGTTAAACTAAACTAATTAAAATATAAAGTTAAACGAATTATTAATTATAAAATAAAAGATAATAAAAAGGAACATTTTATTAAATAAAAAAACTATAAATATAAAAGAAATATATAAAAACCTATTATAAACCTCTAGAACTTTTAATAACTTCTTAAAGAGTATTAAAATTAAAATTAAATCTAAAACTTTTAGTTATTACGGCGTTTTAATTAATAATTTTAAAAATATTATTAGTTTATACCTTACGGGCCGCTAAAAAAGTATTTTTAAAACCCTTAAGAAACTCCTCTAATATAACCTAACTTTTTTTAAATACTATTCGCTTTTAAAAACGAAAACATTCTAATTTAAATAATAACTTATTTAACTTAGCCTAAACTTATTAATAAACCTTAGCCTTTTTTTATAACTTCGTAGCTCTTTTTTAAAACTATAACTCTTTTACTTCTTTTTTATAATTAAAATAATTAAACTCCGTTACTAACTAATTAACTATACCTAATTAGCTAAAACTTAATAAATAAAAACATAATATTTATAAATATAAATAGCGTTAATAAAAGTATTATATAAAATACTTAAATAATAATATATTTTATAAACTTTAAAATTAAAAAGAACTAAGTAACGGACCCCTTACGAGCGACAATTTAAATAAAGTATTATTTTTATATTTTTATTAAAAAAACGAATAATACGTAATAATTTATAACGAGACGTAGCTATTAATAATCTCGATTTTTTAATTTAACCTAATATTATATTAATATATTCTAAGAAAATACTTAATAATTCCCTAACTTAAGAATACACGACTTATTTATAAGCTTAGAGGACTAAACTTTTAAAAACAAAAGCTAATATTATAACTTAATACGTATAATAAAACTAGGGCCTCGCTTTATAAAATTTATAATAATTATTATATTATATATATAAAAATACGGACTTAGGGTAACTCTTTTTAAAATAAAAAAACTATAAATAAGTTACGTAATTACGATTATATAATAAAATAAAAAACAGATACTTATAAATAAATAAAACGGACGATCGTAAATAAATAAAACGAACGACCGTTTAGTAAATAGTTAGATAATAATAAATAAGAATACTATAAAAGATATATTTAAAAACGAGATTTATATATAATATAAACTTAAATTAGACTTAAAAATAGACTTTTTATAACTTTTTTAATAATTAACTTAGTATTAAATCTTCTAATTGCTTTTAGCTATTTTTATTAAGAACCTTTTTTAATAAGATTATAATTAATTACTAAAGCTTTATTTATTTTATAATTTATAAATATAGTTTTAAAAAAGCTATTTATAACTACGATACTATTTACTTAGTACTCGTAACCTTAACTTTTATTAATATATTTATTATAACTAGCTAGTTATAATATTAATAATAGCTATTAAGCTTGTTATAAATATAAATAGGCTTATAAGTTTATTAATATAGGGTATTAATCGTCGCTATATTTTATATTAATAACTAGTAACGAAATTAAACCCTAAATTTAGAGGTAAAGTAATGACGTTATAGAGGAAGGCATTGGTTATTACTATTCTATGGCCTAGACGTTGGCTATAACCCCATCTTGTGGCTAGTATCTAGCAAAATGCAACAGCATCCCAGTTTAAATAATCTTAGTAGCCCATGGCTATGGACTAAAAATTCGTCCGGCTCTGAGCTTACTAACGACTTCGATAACAAAGACGCTTAACAAATTTAATAATAATTTCGTAAGCAAGATCATCAACAGAGCTATCCAGCGACAATAATTACTAGTGTTCAAGAAGTACGTCGAAGAATAAGATACGTTAAAGATCAAAGGCAGCCCAAAGGGGTGGGGGGGTCGCCTATGTACAGTAAGTAATTATTATAGAGATTTATAATCTTCTAAGTTTTACTATGACAGTCAGTTTCAAGGACTCGGAAGCATTTTAATAGCATTAACTAAACAAAATGTATTTTAATCTAGATTCGGCAAGTTTTAACAGTTTGACTCGGTCGCTCCTCTGAATTAGCCCTAAAGTGTGCGGATATTCTATCATCAGTGAAGAAATAGCCCATCTACTTCGTAAAAGCTCATCCCCAAAAGGGCGGTCTGGGCTTCATTATTCCAAGCAAAGCTTATCATTACTAGCTCATTTTGTTTTTAGTCAATTTTATGCACTACGTGCGTAGAAAGCTCGCCCTGTATAAGTATATTTTTATGTGTGAAATTCCATTCCTACTTTATATCCCATCAGCTGCGGAATGGCGTCAGTACATACGTCTCCGGCTTTCTCCAACGCTGATTCCTTTATGATCGCTTTCATTGAGTGCATCGAAATGAACTAAGACAGCAATACTGGAAAACAACAAGGAAGAATACGTGATACGTAACTGCCTCTTATATAGAATATGTATCTATATTCTGACGCGATTCCGCAGTTGATGGGTTAGGTATGGGCGTTCCAAAATCTGATCACACCGGCCAAGCAATTTTTCCAGGTGCATCGGAACCGATACACAATGACAGTCCAGGCACGCAGCTTGTTGCTGTCGGTGATAAATCTATGAGTACAATGACAATGTGAGGTGCTGAAGACATGTAAATGGAAATAAGCTGCAGTCACGTTACGCTTAGCTCGAATGGAGCATTGAAAATCAGGCCTGCAAGAAGACGGGTCAATGGATGGCGTTTAGTTGTAAGCATCTAGATATAGCCACGCCTCTGTGGAGATTGTCAGATGCGAAGTGCGAAGTGCGAAGTGCGAAGTGCGAGGTGCGGGATGCGAGGAGCCAGGATGTGAGCCACGACGGTTGGTCTCTTACTAATGAACGAGTAGGAAACTACATAAGTATCTTGAACAATATTTCCCAATTTTGTTCAGTTGAGGCCCTCGATATCATGTCAACAGTTGCACGAACTTCTTTCCAGCCGATCAACGCAGATTGTCGCTTGGGCACGACAAAACGGATAACCTCTCAATACTTATCATCAAACTCAAGTCACAATAGTAACCTTTTGCGGCCGGAATGAATTTTTACAAGTACTCCCCATCCGGGGCAGCTGCTATAGTATTTTTCGTTGCCTTCGTCATCGGGGGCGCATGGCACCTTTGCATCATCATCCGTAAGCGAGCGTGGTATTTTACACCAATGCTGATCGGATGCACGTGTAAGCTTCTTGTCAATATTCACTCGCTGCCTTTCTATCGTAGAACCAAATGTATGGAGATGCCCGACTGACATAGAATCGGGCGTAGTTGAGCTGATCGGCTACATGGGCCGCTTCCTCTCCTCCAACGCCCCCGACGTAATCGTCTTCTTTATGATCCAAGCACTTTGCCTCCTCGTGGCACCCGCACTCTTCGCCGCCTCCATCTACATGGTCCTTAGTCGCCTCATCATCCATCTCCGGTCCGAATCGCTCTCCCCTATAAAGCCTTCGCGGCTCACGAAGATTTTTGTTATCGGCGACATCCTCTCCTTCATTGTACAGATCATGGGCGCCGGCATGTTGGCCAGCAGCACCACCATGAACACAGGAAAGACGGTTATCCTACTCGGACTGGTCGTTCAGCTTATATTCTTCGGCTTGTTTGTTATCTCCTCGGCCGTGTTTCATTCGCGAGTGTCGAAGCATATGCCACCAGCCTTGATGGAAGAGGAGGCAAACACGGGATGGAGGCGACTGTTCAATGGCTGGAGGGGCGTCATGAGCGTTCTCTATATCGCTAGCGTCATGATATTTGTTCGTTCGCTGTTCCGACTTGCCGAGTACGTCGAGGGCAATGACGGCGCACTGCTCGGCACCGAAGTGTTTTTCTACATTTTTGATGCCCTGCTCATGGTCAGTGTTGTGGCCATTACTGCTGTCTTCCACCCGGCCAAGTACGTTCCAGGAAAGAAACAACTTCTCGTGTTGCAGAGCTTAGAACGCAGATCCTGAGCCTGCCGCATCAGGAGGGCACTTCTCAGAGAGGATGCATCAAATCATTTGCTCTGCTTTAGTGGCTGAGGAATTCAACTCTGCTTGAATCTGTTTTAAAGTGTAAGATGCCGCTGAGATAGATGTACGATACATCTTTATAGACTTATAGACTCAAAATTTTATGCTATACCATCGAAGAATCCCTCATGATGAGGTTCATCGCCCGCGCCCTGACAAGTCGCGAGCTCAGACAAGAAGGGCGTGAGCAGATCCAAGTCTTTCACCAGCACAGCAACTTTGGGGGCCGCTAAACAACTCTGCCATGTGGGTCCGACGGCTTCGGTAAGCTTATACATGTCTGCCGGGGCGACGTCTCGGTACAACCACGTCTGCGGCAGCCATGGGAAAAAAGCGAGATAGTAGGCCATGACGACGAGAGCCCGTGGCCGCTTCTTGCGGGCCATGTCAACGAATCCAGACGTCACAAACGCAAAGGGCCATATTCGGACTTTGTAAGCGATACAGGGCTGTCTCTCGTTGTCAGAGATGCGGGAAAAGACATCGCACTCTGAACAGAAGAGCGCGCCAAATAGCCTCTTAATGCCCTTGACTGCACGCCGTAAGTCATCGATATGGCCCCAGTCCTCGTCGCTCTCGTCGATGCCCATTTGAACTAGCTCAAGATCGGGCACGATGGTCACGGGACAGATGTGACTGAAGTCCGAATCCTTGTCGCTCGTTCTCTTGTCTCCTCTCCCTCGCCCAACGCTGGAGGGGACGCTCAGCGTCGTCCTTCTCCAAGGCAAAATTGTTCGCGGACCTATGCTCAAGGCCAGGTAGTTTGTCAACCAGATCCCATTGTCCCCGGAAAATCGATCCGCGGCGAGGGCCGTGACGGCCAGCAGAATCGATGTCGCTACTACGGCCCGAAACCTATCATTCGGTCTCTCTACCATTGAGACTTGCGAGCTGCGCATGAGTTCTATACGCAATCGACGGAAAGCCTGATCTCGGTACAGGGCCAGCTGCGGCAAGCCGTCTTTCGTCGACTCATCAGTGCTTGATAGGTGCAGCAGGGCGACCGAGAAGATGGCGTCCAGAAGAAAGTGGTTCTGAAAAGCTAGCTGAGGAATATCTAGCCGCAGGGACCGACAAGCACGATCCTCGAGCTGAAACGTTGCGGCGAATGATTCGACGGTGAAGTTGGAGTAGTGGTGTAGCAGGCGCAAATGATCCATCTCATGGTTCGTATATAGCGGGCGAAGATCGCACAGCATCGGCTCTTCCCCCTCTCTCGTTACTCGGGAATTCTGCTCGACCATGTTTGTTTGCTCAATTTCCTCAATGAAGAACCCGTTCGCGGGCGACACGTTGCTCTGTGATATGCAGTTTGAACGAGGTGCGTAACGACAATGCGTCTGGCGCCTTGCACATGCCGAGCAAGCGGGCTTCTGTTCATCGCACTAAATGCAGCGTCTTCCAGTCAGCAGGAGATGATTACATGCTACACATTCACTGTATAAGAGACTGCAAACAGAAGAAATGTAGATAGGTGGTACGCGCCTTTACGCGTCTGAGTTTGCAGTCAATGCATCCATTCCTCGATTTAGTATGATGTCGTATGGCGTGCGCCTTGACGACCGCGGGAGAAGGTTTCATTGCGTACAAGGACGTCTTCAATATATGAGCAGCATGAAAATTAAGTTGCTGTGCCGTTAGGTTCTTGATAGAGTGGAAGAGAACGCAGAATTTGGCAACACCTTGGCCACGCTATTCAGTGAAAGAAGTCTCAGGTCCAGCTGGAATCCCTGGCAGAGCCCAGAGGGATGTCTTGCAGAGGTAAGTGGGAGCTTTCCGGTAAAAAGGGGGCAGTGTTCGCTGAAACGCGTAGCCAGGTACGTGTATCCGTATCCGGAAAGTTCCCGATACGATAAGGCAGCTTGAGAACCCACCTAATGAATCCCTTTGGAATGGTCATTTCTGAAGACACGTACATAACGAACCCGAGAATTTACTCTACAAGATACCAGAAGAAAAAGCGGAAAAAAAAGTGAGATGTCGCAGTGATTTACATATTTAGTATCTTGGACAACTACTTGATGGTAGAGAATCTGAACTACGCTCTGTCTTAGTCGTTCCGCATCTCCCAGGTCTCCCTCATAGTAGCCCAGTACTCATCTTTATTATCCATGAGCATGACTGTAATGCACACTGTGTCTAAATCTGGCCACCACGTCGTCAAGTCCCAACAGCTCATCGCTCTCCCAGGCATGAAACTTGACATCCTTCTATGCATTGAGGTCGCCCGTCTTAGAGAGGATGCATGTCCGCGGAGATTATTTATCTTTATGATAATACATTGAAGATAATGAATAATTCCATATATTTACTTATAATTATAAAATTCCTCATATGACTACTTTAGCTTACTTACTCTTGAGAACTCTTATTATTAATCTTAATTTCATTATCCCTTAAGAATATATTCTACTTTTTAATATTTTATTTTCTTTTTTTATATTTTTCTAGAATAAATAATCATTTCTATTATTTATTTTAATTTGAGTAGTAATACTTTTTAGACCTCATTTTATCAGGGTGGCCGAGTAAGGGCGCTTTGACTTAACTACGCTTGGCTGGCCCAGGCGCCTCTGTGGCGCTTCTAACGCCACCTTAGTAAGCGCAGCGAGATTACCGTGGCTCGGTTAGACCACGCTACGGAAGTCTCACCGCCAGAGAAGCTCGACGATCAAGACATAATGGTCAAATTCACAGTCGCAGGCCATCGCTACCTAAGACATCTACAACCTCGACTTCCCACGACATCCAAAACCTAGTCAGGTTGGACCAACCCGAAGAGATGCCTCGCAAGGGGAGTCAAAAGGTTAAGACAGGATGCATTACTTGCAAGTAAGTCCGCGCCGAACCCGCGTAGTATGCGTCTCGTCTCGTACCTCGCATAAGTTGAGCTGATAATGCACGAGAGTCCGCAAAGTCAAGTGCGACGAAACCAAACCAAGCTGTTCTCGGTGTGTGACCGCCGGTCGCATTTGTGACGGCTATGGCTCACGACTCGCTCATCCACCCCAGCTCACTTCCGAAGGAGTGGCTTCCCTGTCTCAGCCACATGTTGTTTTCCCAAGTACAACGGCCAAGGAGGGCCGCGCTTTGCAGTACTTTTGCGAGGTTGTTGGGCCAGCTATGTCTGGTACTTCAGACCCCTACTTTTGGACACACCTTGTCATGCAGCTCGGAGCCAATGAGGCCGCGGTTAAGCACGCTCTTGTCGCGATAAGTGGTCTCTTTGAGCAAGTTGACGAATTGCAGCAAGAGGTCACCGCGGGCCAGCGACTCGTCCACCAGAGACAGGCATTGCACCACTACAATGCAGCAATTCGGGAACTCAAGACCGAGGACTTGAAAGAAAAGCAGACTGTTGTACTTGTGGTCTGCCTTCTATTCATCTGCATTGAGGCCTTACGGTCAGATGTGCAGTCAGCTGTACGCCACGGTCGACACGGGATCGAAATCTTGAAAGCCGCCTTACCTAACAGCTGGTGGATCAAAGATCACCTGCTGCCCATTTTTCGCCGTTTGAGCGTGTCCGCCTTTTACTTCAGCGATAGTGACGGCACGTTCCTTGACATGCCCGAATTGTGGGAGCCTGCCCCATGCTCCTTTTCAACAGCGTATGATGCTCAGCACATGTTTGACATCATCATCGCCCGGATATCACACCTAACGCTCGTCATTGCCGAGACGGGACAAAAAACAGATGTGGAGCGAGAGGGGACCAAAACACAACCCCCTTATTCTGACGATCACCGGGCCGAACAAGCTATTGTCAAGGATCTTCTGGAGAATTGGCTGTATATGTTTGCCCAGCTCATCGCCAAGATACATCATATAGATGCGAGCGGGAAACGCTTGAGTTCCCAAGAGCAGTACCAGAAGAAGAAGATGCAAGTATTCATGCTGACTCGCTACGAGGCCGCTCGAATATGGATCGAGACGGCATTTGACGGAGACACCCCAAAAGCCAGAGACAGGTTCCTTCCTAATTTTCAAAGGGTGCTCAAGCAACTTCAATGGCTCCAGTCTCAGATGCCACCGGATGTTCAGGCTGCCACCGGAAAGCAGTCGCCGCAGTTCATGTTCGAAATGGGATTCACCGCCATCATCTTCTACTTTGTGTCCGCATGTCCTTACCCCGAAATTAGGCTCGAATTCCTAAGATTTATGCAGCTTTTTGGACTTCCGAGAGAGAACCTCTGGGATCGAGACGTTCTGATGGCCGCAGGAAGAAAGATTATCGAAGATGAGAATGGTATCAAGTTGGAAGACTGTGAGCGGTCGCTAACGTTGCCCTCGAGTCCCGGCCTTCTCATTGATCTTGCGACGCCAGGGTCATCGACATCTACACATCCAACCATACATCTATCAGATTTCTCCTTACCACCAGCGGATTTTGACGATCTCGTTGACGATTCTTCCACGTTTGTCTTTAACAAGACATTGAAATCACATCCCTGGTGCTCTATGCCGTGGAGCATTCAGATAGGCCCACGAGAAACTTCGAAAATGAATCAATAAACACAAGTGTAATGCGGTTGGATACATAGAGATTCCTTGTCTATCTTACCTATAACATTGTTGCATGGTGAACCTTATGCGGTGACTCCTAAGTTCATCCCAAGATTAAAACTGACGAAATCATAGCCTCTATCTCGAGCTTACCACCGCGTATTAGGTATCCCATCGGATGCTGAATGGCGTCAGTACATTGCCAATTGTGGTAGTACCGAATCACGTATCATTTCCTATTTCTACATTGATACCGACTTGAACTTTTATTTCAAAGAAATACGTATATGTTAGTATACACTATTAAAGCGGAACCATATATAGAGATATACTTATACAGGGTGAGCTTTTTACGCGCGTAGTGCATAAAATCAACCACCTCAGAACCATGAGGAAAACACTATGCCAACACTAAAATGCCAACTTCGCGTCCGCTTTTAGGTATTTATGGACAATTGGGCAAAACATCGGGAATATTCTACGCCATCAGACTTTGGGCTTCATTGCCATCGGAAATGATTAATTCCGTGGCTCAGTCTTTTACTACGTTGCCGCTACTGCTCGTCGACCAAAGGGATTAGTATCAAGCAGCTCCTTCCATAGTCAGTTCGGGTTATGAAACACGGCCACCTACCTTGAAGATAGGAACATGGCCGGAAGTAAGTCTTCACTGCTCGACATGCTACATCATCGCATAATTGCTCTATTTGCCAAGCTCCCTAGAGCAAGCTAAAGTGTTAGTCGGCCCAAGAATGTACATTTAGGAAGTAGAGATTCTACATCTTTCACATATGTGATAAAAGGTTTTGCTGTTAGTCATTTTGAGAAAACATCTCCTTTGCGAGGTGTACCTTAGGTAGCATATCATAGGTAGACGTCCAGACGCAAAGGCCTTATGTTTCTTCCTTTCTGCCTCATGAAAAGAGTAAAATTGTGGGTCTGTAACTCGACATCTGGCCGAGCAAGCAAGTTGGTACCGGTGATAGGCTGTAGGCCTCGTCACACATCTGACTTGTCCCGATGGCTCAGTAACACACATGAGAACCGTATGCCGACCGTGCGCTTATTCAATTCGGACAGCCACTCTCCATTTCCTTCAGTCGCTTGTACTGACATCTCGTTAGTGCCTTATCATGTGGCAATTCCTTTGGGAAGACGCCTAGTGATGATAATGTGCTGGAAGGCTTCGCAGCTCTAAGAGGATACGCATAATCAACTCTCGCCCAGATAGCAAACGTGCGGCCTCATTTGGCCCCTCGCAGTCTTCACTATCTCAAAGGGAGAGATGTCTTAATGTGTTAGATTATTTTATGAGTCATTTTCATTTGGGCCACACCACATCTTTCGAGATAGTCTAATTATTGTGGGTGGTACCCTACTGGAACGAAACACAGATACGCACGTTCTTTCCACCCAGACACAGGGTCACAGAGTACGCAGAGATAGTGAGGGCGTATATTCCACCGGTACTGCAGTGACTTTCGGATCCACATGAGCGGCATCCGAGTCGTGAACTTCAGTAAAGCCTTATATTGCTTGTAACAGGGCTATTCCTACATCGCTGTTGTCGAGAGAGTTCCCTCAAAGGAACACCGCATATCTGATTGGTGGAAGAACAAAACTTCCCCCATCAGTTATTGCGTTTTTTAGGAAGTTCCGAGCCAACGCTTTCAATACAAAACGGCCTAGACACTCCCCTATTTTCTGATAAGGAAATGAACATATCTGTATTCGTCCCCTGGTTGAAGCGGAACATTTGTAAATCTGAGTCAGGAAGTTCTTGCCGGTGATCCATACCTTTCGTCCTAGGCATCAACCTCCACCAGATCTGACTAAAGGTCGGTCGGAAACAATGCTGTCAGACGGGGAAATTCATGATCGGCAGCTGGTCATGTGTTCGTTGAGGGGCAAACCTACCCTCGCCGGTTCCTAGTGTCAATACCACAGTCCTCGTTCCGTCGGACGGCGCTCAAAAATCCCATCTCCTGGGAGAGACCGGAGTACAATGTGAATCTCAGAAGAAGCGCTCCTCGTACATATGATCACTCTATCCGTGGCAGGGCAAATGTTTCCTACCCAAACAAACGGCTCCTTGACTCGTACTTGGTGTGACTCCCTGAACCCTGCAATCTACATCGGCGGGCGAATGAGTAGCAAAGAGCAAAGCTCTTGCTTGAACGAACTTGCCATAGTACTCAGAAGTCATAGCTCATATTGGTAATTCAGACGCCGTAAAGGATTGGTTACTCCGAGCACGTGGGCAATATAACCCTGTCAAGGAGGACGGACCTCAGCTTGTTTGCGCACAAGCCTTGCACCCCGCAATGCTGGATCTGACCAAATTTGGCAGCAAAGCTTGGCATGCAAGGCCATCACAGCGGCTCTGAGGTTAAGTGGTGTTTTTTCCTAAGTAGTACGTAAGCTACATGAGAATTTGAGTCAAAAGCTTGGCTTCTGAAATCACCCATGCTTACTCCTATCACTCTGAAGAACCAGCGTTTACATATATCACATACACACATTACCAAGGTACAGCTTTCGCAGCCGGTGTGACCTTAGGAGAGGAAGACGGTGTCGTTTACATAGGGAATAGGCCTCTATGCCTTAACAATACATCGTGCCTTCTGAGCCGCAAGTTTCAGTTTTACCTCTTTTTTTTCACCTTTTTGCCCACCACTTTAAACTCCCGATGACGCCAAGTAAAAGTTGGTCTGTGCGTTGGTGCGAACCTTAATACGCCAATCATTACGAAGCAAGCAAGAATCAAGGTCACAGGTCTAGTGTAGACAGAGGTTCATTCATTATTGCAGTCACGGTTTCGTAGTCGTAGTTTACTATGCTGGTTTTAGACTAATTACCCTCAAGCAAGGGCACATTCTGGCGGCTAGAGCAGAATTCAAGTACAGCATCATGGCTGCGCTGTCGAACCAATCGCCTCTGCCACATTTTTAGTTCGCCTCGGCTCCCTGGCTACCGCACTTCTTCTCGCAGTAGTAGGTTATCTAAGAAAGCCCGATGGTCAGATTTAATGACACAATTCCAAAAGTTACATGACATCCCTCGTCTCCGCCGATATGCCAGGCATTGGAAAGGCACTGAAGACCATCGAAGTGACAGTCGGGGCATTTGTCCCATTGGTTGTTGCCGGTGCTGCGATTTTTATAGTAATTGCAGGCACACTGAGTTCCCGCAGTGTCGATCTCGTATTCCGTCCATGAGCCGTAAGTGATGCCGTAGGGAGTCCCATTCCCGGTGCTGCCACGCTGCCTGTTCTTAACGCAGACAGCTGCGTTGTGCATCTTTGTAAAAGCGCTGAAGTCGAGTTAGCGATGGGGCATGAATGATTAATCGCCTAACGGCTGTGTGTACATAAACCGTAGCAAAAACGGCAAAAGTCGCAAACGTGGAGATTTGCATCTTGACGTTTGCAAAAGATATTGAAGTAAGATAATAGTGAGTAATGGACTAGGGGAACACTCGTTTAACCACAAGTGAAGAATTTGATGAAGAGATTTGCTCTGAGAGTGATTTGATCTCTTTCCAGCACAACAGCAAAATCACAGGTTGAAGTATCCCTGCGGTCTGTTATCCTAGGATGAGGGAGAGTGAATGATGGTGGCTCTCCAAAGATCATGCGGTTGGAATATCGTATATCATGGTCAAATGCCCTTTCCGCCTCAGGGAGTTTATAATCTATCAGATACTGTCTAGTGAAAGTATTACTCGCTCATCCAGCCCTTGAACTCCACGAATTTGGTCCCCAAGACGAATCGATGTGTAGATGGTTGCTTGATCTATCAGAAAGAAGCTTAGTGGTTGCGGTTTCCTTCTCGTGACGGCTGCTGAGTCGTGTTGTACTGGAAATTGCTAAAGTCGATTAAGCAGGTAATTCACCTGTGTATGAGAACAGCACTCCAGCGGTAATTACACGAGACATCACGTCTTGACGCCACATGGGTAGGTAAAACTCCACCTGGCCGTTAGGGCACTTAGCAACCATATGTTGGACTAGGCCTACAGGGACCATGCCTGACTAGTGACAGACGTTCGGATGAGCACAACCGCGCTCCCGTGGATTCAACGATCATGATGAGAATGCTGCCAGTAGTTCACCAGCCGATCAGAGAGTATTGCATGAGTCGGTAAGAAGAAGAATACATACCATTCCAAGAATATATATAAAGCCTCGGAATAATCCCACAAAGAGTCATTTGCTATTTCCAACTCTCCTCATGTCCTCATCTACTCGCGTGAAATACTTCTCCGTCGTTTCCCTCAAGATGGTTTCTATATGGATTGCCTTCCTCTCTGCATTTGCTGCCGCAGTCAGCGCTGCGCCAACCGCCATTGCTGACAACAATTATGGTGCCCTTAACATCACCGATACCCTAGATCGCAATCTTCGCAACGGAGAAATTGTCGTTTTTGGAACGAGTTTTCGAAGTACGCAACTCAATCCGAATCGTTGATTTACCATGCTGACTTTTCAATTTGTTTTGAGGCTGCCATCATCATCCAGAACACTTGGGAACTCCTGTTGAAGGTCGAGGGTCTTGAGGCCGAGACTCCAGACATTGATCATGATTTCCTTAGGTCTGGTGATGAGTTCTCGGAGATATCCGTGAACCACACCGGTCTCGCCCTTGAAAAACGTGACTGCAACAGCAACTATCAGGCCGTAGTTGATCGCACTCAGCGCTTTGTTGACTGGGATGTCCAAATGTCCCCTGTTGTCATCGGTGCTGGCAGTAAGGGTATTGACATTACCATTCCCAAGTCATACTCCATTGCGAACAGTGTCCAGGTTTCTGCTGGCATTGATCTGGGTCTCATCAAGGACCGACTCAAGACTAGCTTTGGGATCAACTACTCGCGTACTTGGACGACGGGCCGGGGCTACCTCATTCGAGGCACCGTTGATGATGGTTACACTGGTGTCGTTATCACTCGCCCCTGGACCAACCGCAAATACGGCCGCACCTTCCAGGGTTGCATTGGAAGCCTCCGACAGACTGGAACTTTTATGGCTGACAGCCACGAGGTGCGCGAATCCTTGCGTTGTAATAGTATTGACCGAGGCTAATTACTCTATCGCAGAATGGCTCCTGCGAGGGCGTTACTTGGGTCGGTGGTGCCATTACTGCCTGCATCAAGAGGCAGAGCTCTATCCCATTGTCCCGGTGTAATGGTAGCGGCAACTTCCGATAATCATTTTGGTGCTGTCTTTCGGAAGAGTTACGTTCACTGAACTGGTCTGTGTCGCAGTCACTCAACCTAATGACGTCCTCCACTGTGGTCTGCGTCATGGTGCCTCAAAAAAACATACTGGGAGGGATTGATAGATCGTGTCCAATGTACATACACGAAAAGTTCGGGCTGGGCCTTTCGACTTTCATTTGAATGTAACAAACACTGAATTCTGTTGGCTGTTAGTGGATAGCTACTATAATTAGTGCCAACATTGTTTGGCTGGAATGCTTCTGTAAACGCACCTACCCTTTGACTAAATGACCTACTTATGATCGGGGGCTTTCAAGAGCCCGTTGTCGGAGTCAACATGGCGTAAGCAGCATTGAATTTTGCAGGGGGCTTCTATACGGCTTGCGCCATCGCGATAAGTGGCTACTCGCAACTTCCCTAACTAATCTGCGTAAGTAAGCCTGGGGTACGTTTATCTGGGAGAAAATCTTGCTCTACATACTCTCGTATCTAACATAGGCAGACTATCGGACGTCTAGTATCTAGGCACTCTCGATGCGTTCATGATACCGGCCTCCTCGAGACGCAGACAAATAACATCGCCCCGGTCTTATCTGAAGCCATTCATTTCATCAAGACGCAAGTCTTAGATGAAAGATCGCGGCATCGTGACATTGTCAGCTGAGGGCGGAGCAAGGTCGAGCAGTCTCTGGTCTTACTACGTAGTTCATCGCTGCATCTTTGCGAATGCCATCAGACCCATACTTGAATCGAACCAGCATTACACCGGCAATGCCTTGTGCCGATGTCAACCGCCCAGAGCTTATCGTAGGACCATGATCGGCAAGCAGGCTGGTCTGAGTCCCATTTCATTTTGAGGTCACGTACCAATAGCATCGCCATAGGACGCTAGAGACAGTCCATAGATGGGGAACTATCTTTCCGCGGGAAAGTTCGCCGAATGCCGGGTAAGTTGTGCGGGAAACCTTTAATCAGCACATTATCTAATGGTTTCGTCCGGAAAACTCGCACGCCTCAGGAGCCAAACTACAGGGGCATGTGGAATATTACATTACAAGGTGATGAAAAAGATTGTCGGAACATGGGGCAATCATTTCGGTTTGTTACGGCAAGAGTAAGGGTGATGAATACGAAGAAATTCACACTAGTAATCTTGCGTGTTAGAGGATTCTGTTTGGCGAATTCTTCAAAAGATGCTATATATTGGTCATAGAATTGCAACAGTCAAGCTTTCAGTGTTTCAATCTCATTGGGCTTCCTTTGAGTGGCCCCAAACTTTCCTGTCTCGTTTCGTTATTCATCCTATCACATCTCAACATGGCTAAAACCAGTCCTGTATTTGTCACGGCTGGCTCGGGAAACAACGAGCCGAAAGACAAGTCAACCCACCAAAGCCTTAGGCCTTCTCGATCCATCATATTTGATACGTCCGACGAAGAAACCGACACCAAGAAATTGGCAAGAAATCACCTCTGCGTTGGATATGAGAACAAGTTTGATGGACCGCCCCCCGACGGCGGCGTCAAGGCCTGGACACAGGCTCTCATGGCCCATTTTGTTGTTTTCAATACTTGGGGAACAATCAACTCTTTCGGCATTTTTCAAACATTCTATCGAGATTATCTTTCTCGGTCGGCTTCTGAAATTAGCTGGATTGGTTCCATGCAAGTCTTTTTTCTTTTCGTCGTTGGTGTATTCACCGGGCGTCTCACCGATGCTGGATATTTTCGAGCAGTCTTTGCCTCAGGATCTACGCTGGTGGTACTGGGAAGCCTGACCGCATCGTTCTCGAATCAGTATTGGCAACTATTCTTATCCCAAGGGCTTTGCGTGGGACTTGGCATGGGAGGTTTGTTTTGCCCTGTTATAGCTGTGTTGTCGACATACTTCAGCAGGCGCAGAAACCTCGCTATCGGAGTTGCTATCAGTGGCTCAGCTACTGGAGGGATGATTTATCCCATTATTGCACGCCAGCTTTTACCCATGATTGGATTCAGTTGGACAATGCGTGTCATGGCACTGATCCAACTCATCACTCTCTTGATTGCCAACTTCTCGATGCGATCCAGAATACGACCGAGGCGGTCCGGTTCGGTGATTGAGTTTTCCGCTTTTACGGAGAAAGCCTATCTTCTCTTTACGATTGGCATGTTTTTTGTAAGTTGATCCTAATTTGATCTTCGTGCATCACTAATATCTTTAGAACTTCTGGGGCGTCTATTTTGCGTTTTATTAGTATGTTAGACAGCTGAAGCTGCTTCATCTCCTGTACCTCACTGAAGCTAACAGACTATATAGCATTGGTCCATTTAGTCGCGACAGGCTTTCATTTTCGTATGACAGTTCAATCAACATTCTTATGGTTATGAATGGGGTCGGCGCGATCGGTCGTGTGATTCCTGGCTTACTTGCAGACCTCTATTTGGGGCCATTAAATGTTGTGATTCCGGCCGCGGCTATTTGTACAACTCTTTTGTTCTGTTGGATAGCAATCCAGAGTTCCACTGCCTTGTATACTTGGGCTGTGTTTTATGGTAAGTCACCCATTCCTTTCTGTGTCCACTCTTTGAGGATTCCAGACAAACAATTCCCGCTTTAACAAAACTAACCATTCTTTTTACACCTCCAGGTATCTTTGGGGCTACAGTTCAGGGTCTCTTCCCAGCAGCATTGTCATCATTGACAACCGATCTTCAGAAAGCAGGCACAAGGATGGGAATGGTCTACACAATTGTTAGTTTCGCAAACTTAACCGGCCCTCCACTGGCCGGACTTCTGATCAAGGCCGGTGAGGGTCGGTATATTTATGCGTTTATATTTGGAGGGCTATGTCTGGCTCTAGGTACATTATTCTTAGTCGCCTCTCGTATTGCTAAAGGAGGCTGGGGGTTAGCAAAAGTCTAAGTAATTAAAACCGTAGTACATTTTAAACAGGGCATATTATTTTTTTAATTTTTTGAGAATTTTTTAAATATATAAATCTTAAAGAGCGTTAATTAAATACGGGTAGTTTTAACTTATTATTATTTAACTTACTATTTATTTTAGTTTTTATAATATTTACTAGAACAAGACTTTATAACTCTATTATTTATTTATAATTTTTATTGTTACTAATTATTTAAGTAGTTTTTTGTATTATTTATATAATATAATATATAATATTGATAAATACTCTTTTTATTTGAATAAACTATTTTTTAATTTTTTTAATTTTTCTTAATAAAGTTTATTTATCTTTTTATTTTATTTCTATTAGTTACTCGGGAGATTTTTAATTATTTTAAAGTTTATAACTAATTATAAATTAATTTTATCTCCTTAATAAAGTAATTTATTAGGGCCGTATTATATATTATATATTGAAAAAAACTAAATATATTACGCTTTATTAGTAAAAGAGTAGTAAATATTAACTTATTTAGCCTTTTTTTTAAAAAAAAAAAACTCTATATCGCTATTAAAGTTTAGAACTTTTATACTTAAGGAAGGCCGCTTTAAATTATTATAGCTAATTATTATAGCTAATTATTATAGATAATTATATAGTGGTTTTTTTCCAGCTTTATAAGCATAGAAGATCGACCTTAACGGGATTACGTTTTTAAAAAAAACTATATAATACGGTATACTTTTTAACTATATAATATACGTAATATACCTTAAGTACGCGCTTAATATAATATAATAATTTTAATGTAAAAATTATTATATAATTTAGGATAAGTAAGCTACTTTTTATATAATAATATTAGTTAGAAAAGTTAATAATAAAAGTCGGTTATAAAGGTTAAAAGCGGCCCTTAACTATAGAAGTTCTAAATTTTAATACTAATATAGAAGTTTTTTAAAAAAAAAGGGCTAAAAGGGCTAATATTTAGCTATTTATATTAGAGCTCGTAAGGATTTTTTTTATTTTTGTTATTTTTAATATTACTTAAAGCTCTATTTAAACTAAATAAATTTATTAAATAAACTTATTAAACGAACTTATTAATATATAAATTACTATTACCTCGTTAAGAACTTTTTAATATATAATTAGTAATTAGCGGGCTAGGACTTTTTAAAAATACCCCTTAATAAGTCCCCCCCTCTAGGGCTCGATAGATTAGGCCCCCTCGATGCCCTAGTTATTATAGCTAACGTAAGTATATTTAAAAAATAGCGAAGTACTTTTTAATAATATAAAATCTAGCTAAGTAATAATATAAATATTATAAATAGCTAGGCTAATATAGATATTAAAATTTAGTATATTAATATTAACTTAGAAATTATATTTTATAAAATTAAAAATAATTTTAATATAAGTTATATTATAAATATAAAAAAATATATAAGGGGCCCCCTAATTCTTAATAAAAAAAAGTATATAATATAAGATTTAATTACTTATATAAGCTAATATTAAGAGGTTTTATATATATTAAAATAAATATAACTCGCCCTTTAAATAAGTAATAAAAAGTCGGGAGCTATTTTAATTAGTAATTAGGTATAGAGCGTAATATACTTAATTTTTCTTAATACGTAATATATAGTACGGCCCTAGCGGATTGTTCTATCGGGGGGGATATAAATTTTATATATTTAAAATAATTAATATTATATTAAATAATCCTAACTTGTAAAAGAATTATTTAATAAAATATAAACTAGTTATTAATAGTTTTAAAATTTAATAAAACGTATATATTTTTATAAATAATATAATTATTAATAAGAATTAATATATTAGCGTCGTAAATTAATATACTAATATCGCTCTTATATTAATATTACTCTCCCTAATAGAGCAATCTACCGGGGCCGTACTATATATTACGTATTAAGGAAAACTAAGTATATTACGCTCTATACTTAATTACTAATTAAAATAGTTAACTAACTCGACTATTATTTTTTTTTTATTAAAAATAATTCCTAACCTTCCCCTACCTATTTAAAAAGTAAGCTATACCTATTTTAATATATATAAAACCTCTTAATACTAGCTTATATAAGTAGCTAAATTTTATATTATATACTCTTTTTTATTAAAAGTTAAAAAGCCCCTTATATATTCTCTTATATTTATAATATAGCCCGTATTAAAGGGATTTTTAGCTTTATAAAATATAATTTCTAAACTAATATTAATATATTAAATCTTAATATCCGTATTAGCCCAGCTATTTATAGTATTTATATTATTACTTAGCTAAATTCTATATTATTAAAAAATATTTTATTAATCCTCGGGCATATTTACGTTAGTTATAATAGCTATAGTATTAAGCTAGTTAAAGAGGGCGCCTAGTTTAAGAGGGGTAAACTTATTAATAAGTATTTTTAAAAAGCTCTAACTTATTAATTACTAACTATATATTAAAAATAAAATAAGTTCTTATTAAAATAATAGTTTATATATTAATAAGTTTATTTAATAAATTTATTTAGTAAATTTATTTAGTTTAAATAGAGAGTAGTTTTAAGTAATATTAGAAATAATAAAAATAAAAAGAATCTTTACGAGCTTTAAAAAGTAGTAAATATTAGCCTATTTAGCCCTTTTTCTAAAAACCTCTACGTCGCTATTAAAATTTAGAACTTTTATAATTAAAAAAGGCCGTTTCTAACTATTATAACTAACTATTATAGCTAACTATTATAACTAACCTTTATTATTAACTTTTTTAACTAGTACTACTGCGTAAGTATATTACTTAGCTTATTATTAATAAGTAATAAGGTAGCTTACTTATCCCGAATTATATAGCGGTTTTTATATTAAAATTACTATATTACGTTAAGTACGTACTTAGAGTATATTATATATATTATATAATTAAAAAGTATACCGTATTATATAATTTCTTTTAAAAGCGTAATCCTATTAAAGTTAATTTCTTATACTTATAAAGCTAGAAAAAAAACTATTATATAACTATTCTTATTATTTTTTCTAATTTAAGCTCTAGTTTAAAATTTTAAAAAATAATAATATTACTATAACTTACGTACTTATCTAGAACTACTATATTATCTATTTAAAATTTATAAATTTTAAATTAGTTAGTAATATAAAATTTTATAAATCTTAAATAAATAAGGCTTTTTTCTATTATATATTTAAAATATATAAAAAATAAATTATAATAACGTTTACTTAATTACCTCTTTTAACGTAGTTATAATAATTTATTATTATTATAAACTATTTTTTATTAGCTCTATTTTTTTTAAATACTAAGCTATATTAGTTATTTATTATTACAAAGGTAACTTTGTTTACCTTATTATTCGCCTTATTATCAATATTACGTAAGCAATATATATACCATAATAATCTACGTCTTCCGTAGATTATTATAGGCATTGATTATATAAGCAATACTGCTTATATAAGCTTACGTGAGCAATGGAAAGTACTAGAAGGAAATAGAATAAGCTAAAATCCTCTCGAAGATAGAATTACGTACTACGATTACGCATTTACTTACGTATGCGCTTATTAATTATTTTATAATTAATAAGCAATAAAATGTTCTAGTAAGAGGTTTTTATACCTATATATAGGCATATATTTACCTACCTAGACCTTTCGTTAAGTAAGTAACTTCTTATATAGTAATTTATTTATATTACTCTCTTTAATATAAAAACCTCTTTTATATACGCTTATTACCCCTATATTCATATATTCTTATTTCTATATAAATATTTACTTTTTATATTCTTTTATAAGAATATCCCGTACCTTATTAAAGCTATACGTACTAGATTTATTTATATAATTCCTTATTATCCTCCCCTTATTAAGAATACCAAACTAGCTCCCTATTTATTACTAAAATAAGCTTAATATCTAGCTTTAATTTAATTAACTTATTTTTTTATAAGCCTAGTTAACATTAACTTATTTTTATTTTTAAATAAGTAGCCTCGTTTTTTATTATTTATACTTTAATTATTATAAATAATATAGGCTTAACTAATTAATTAGCTTTTTTTTAAATAAAACTAATTATAATAAAATAAGCTATATTATATTTTTTAGCTTATTATAAAAGAATATAATAATTTTAAAATTCAGGATTTAGTAATATAGATTTAAAAAAAACGTTTTTTAAAAATGTTATTAAGAGTATACTTCTTATTTATTAAAAATAGCTAAATTTAATATTTTAAAATAAATTTTATAATAATATAAGATACTTAGTTTAATTAAAATAGTATAATTTAAATTATAAAATCCGAGGGGGTTTAAAAATAGCTTCTTATTAAATAATATTATTTTTTTTATAAACCGGCCTTATATCCTAATTAAAATAAAATATTTTAAAAAAAGTATTATTTAAAGTTTATTTAGGTATTTAAAGCGAGTACTTATATATTCTTAGCTTATAAATACTTTATTTTTTATATAAACTTAGTAAAAGTATAGCTTTTAATTATTAATTATATTTTATATAACGTTAATAAGCCGATATAAGTAATTAAGATTATTTAAAAAATAACCTTTAATATTATTATTACTTAACTTAGTATTAAAAATAATATAAGTATTAAATTTTTAATATTTTTAAATAAAATAACGGGCCTATTATACTTTTAAAAATAGGTATATTACGTAAAAGTACTAGAGAATTAAGTATTAGTATTAAACTTTTTATAAAGCTTAGTCTAGGCTTTTTTAAAAATATACTTAGTTTTAATAAATATAATAAGCTTTTATATTATAAAAACCCTATAATACGTATAAAAAGGGGGCTTATTAATAAGTATATTAATATAAGCTTTATTTTTATTACTTAGTATAATTATTATTTATATTAATAATTAATACCTCTTGTTATTAAACTTATTATTATTATTATTATAACTACGGTCCTTAACTTATTTTTACTTAGGCCTAAGTA